TTCTTTCCGAATATAACTCTGCGATACACTTATTCTCAATACTCGCGCTAAAACAACACTGTAACGAACGAACGTTAACTTCAACAATACTTCTGACTGCAGTTCGATTACTCATTATCTACTCACACATTACATTCCCCTCTTTTATATACCAGCCTACCCTATATACAGCAAGAACTAGAACATTCGCCAAATTACAGGATAATTCTAGAAAGTAGAGAGCGTGAGAATCACATGATCTCGATGACGCAACAGTACTTTTAAATTCAGTGAGGTTTGTTTAATGTACAGGTACTTCCAGTTTTTAACGACAAATATAGTTTTGTTCTAGAGCAGATTTTATCAAGTATGCCATTTAACGGTTATTGTCGTTTATTAAATAAATTGTTCGTCTCAAAATGTGAACTGTCTGGTAAAAAAGTAGTCAAAAAACTCAATATAAAAATATTAATTATTAAGCTCTATATTTTTTAGACTCCCCTGTCTGTCTCGGACATGGAAAAAGGTCAGGGTCAAGAAGTTCAAGGTCAAGAAAATCCGATGAAACCGCGATCAGCCTGGACTATTCCAGTGAACGTACAGGACAATTTTCCCCATAATTGGTTCAAACATCCCTCGTGGTCTGTGGACTGGGTGGTCACTATTGACCATGCTGCACGTGTGATTTTTCCCTTGGCCTTTCTCATATTCAACACATTTTATTGGCCAGTTTTACTCACTAGAATGTACTAAATGTTAGATGATGTTTATTTCAATGTGTGTAGATGTAATAACTGATATTCACTAACGATAAAATAGACAATAGCTTCATATACTTAATATGTCTTTCTTTATTCATGGACTTCTGCACTGTTGCCTTACAATACAAAGAATGGTGATTTCTAAGATATTTTTTGTTATTCTCCTGATTCTTGTACGTGATTTTGGTTCAAGGTTTAGGTTATTTTTAAACTCCTGGTTCTTGTAGATGCTTTTGGTTCAAGGTTTAGGATATATTTGTACTCCTGATTCTTGTACATGGTTTTGGTTCAATGTTTAGGTTATTTTTAAACTCCTGGTTCTTGTAGATGGTTTTGGTTCAAGGTTTAGGATATATTTGTACTCCTGATTCTTGTACATGGTTTTGGTTCAAAGTTTAGAATATATTTGTACTCCTGATTCTTGTACATGGTTTTGGTTCAAAGTTTAGGATATATTTATACTCCTGGTTCTTGTACATGATTTTGGTTCAAAGTTTAGGAGATATTTGTACTCCTGATTCTTGTACATGGTTTTGGTTCAAAGTTTAGGTTATTTTTGTACTCCTGATTCTTGTAAATGATTTTGGTTCAAAGTTTAGGATATATTTATACTCCTGGTTCTTGTACATGATTTTGGTTCAAAGTTTAGGAGATATTTGTACTCCTGATTCTTGTACATGGTTTTGGTTCAAAGTTTAGGTTATTTTTGTACTCCTGATTCTTGTACATGGTTTTGGTTCAAGGTTTAGGTTATTTTTTAAACTCCTGATTCTTGGATCAATTTGCTGTATGCCGAGTTGTTTGTAAAGCTTATCTTCGGTTTAAAAAATTATCGATGGGCTAAATGTTACACCTTGTTAACAGAACTGTCTTTGTATAAGTGAACACAGATATATTTTATTATTAAATAATATACATATTCTAACTTGTACTGTTCTCAAGAGAGGCTGGTGTAACTAAATCAAGGGTCGTCCATCAACTTCTTTCCCTTCCAAAAAAAAGTACAAAACCAAGATCGAATATTTGATACATAGCATTGATTTGTAATTTTCTAATGACCATATTTTTGCGTTTAATGTTTATAACTTGGAAATGTTTTCAAATAATACAAGAGCCACCATTCACACCTTAGAAACATGAATAAACAGTTCACGTTCACAGGGGTAGATTCCAACTCTGGCCAAGGTTCCAATATTATTCAATTTCTTACTTTGAACCTCAATGTATCAGAAGCCTTACTTCAAGAACCCTTAACAAAGATAAATATCAAAAACACAATAACTTGTATATTTTAAAAAAACTTTTAGTTCTAGTGAATTGTATATATTAATATCAAAAATAATTATCGTTGTAGATCTATTGAAATAGCATTAGAAGCTACTGTTACTTTCAGACGAAGAATGCAGCGTGGCTGAACATTTTGACTTATCGAGATCAGCATAAGTTGTTGACTTGTCCAGCTACATTCATTAGAACAAACTACTAGTAGAAGTACAAACTTATTGTTACCAACAAACCCTGTATCAGGCTAATTCATTACCCACAGCATATGAAAAAAAACAAGATTTGAAATTCGATGTATTTAAGTAACTCATCTCTTCCACCTCACTCATCAGGAAATCAGTCGTAACATGTAAAACTTGCCTCCTTTGTAACATAATACCGTTGTGTTAAAAGAGTAAGGTTGTGGCTTAGCTTTATTGTTTGTTGGCTGCTCTACCGTTGTGTTAAAACAGTAAGGTTGTGGCTTAGCTGTTATAGTCTGTCTGTAGACCAAAATTTTATGAATTTATTGTTTGTATTTTTATTCTACAGGAATAAATTGGTGCATGCAAAACAAAGTTTGTCCAAGATTCTTTAGGTACATACCAGTACAATTTGTTTCCCTAAGATGATGAATTTTCTACACAAATATTGGTGAATTTCATAGCTATGAATAATATTTCATTAAAGTGACTGCACAGGTAAACATTGTGGGCGAATAGAAGTTGGATACTGCACAGGGACAAATCGTAAGTGAATACTGCAAAGGAAGACATTGTGTATGATTACTACACATGAACACACGTGTCAATACTTAGTGAAAAGTAGATCTCATCATAGTAGAGCCAACAAAGTATATAGATCATACCACACTCTTATTGGATCATATAGGTAAAAATAGTAGAATATCTAGACCATAACAACACTCTTATTGGATCATATAGGTACAAAGAGTAGAGTATCTAGATCATAACAACACTTTTAGTGGACCATATAGGTAAAAATAGTAGAGTATCTAGACCATAACACTTTTAGTGGACCATATAGGTAAAAATAGTAGAGTATCTAGACCATAACAACACTTTTATTGGATCATATCAATCCAACCAACAAAATATATAAACTCTAGTAACATTCTTATTGGATCATATTAATATAAACCAATAAAATATATAAACTCTAGTAACATTCTTATTGGATCATATTAATATAACCAATAAAATATATAAACTCTAGTAACATTCTTATTGGATCATATTAATATAACCAATAAAATATATAAACTCTAGTAACATTCTTATTGGATCATATTAATACAACCAGTATAGTTTATGGACAACCTTATCCGAGTTTAGAAGTTGTCAAATTAAACCTTTGATATGATTGATAAAAAATATTATTTACTATAGCAATAATCGATATGAATTTTTGAATACTTAAAGTAATTTTCCAGATAATGTAATTTTCTTTGATATCAGCTTTAATGCAAAATAGCTATCATAGCTGTAGATATGTATTTCATGGTGACAAACGTTACTACGATCACCAGGCATTTAGCAGGGTAACATAACTGTAGATATGTATTTTTTGGTAACAAACAGGTAACGTCGTTGCTATTAACCTTTTAGCTTTCTTGTACCTAGGTTATAATCAATAATGACTTTTCTATTTAACATCCAACAGCCTAGACACAAAACTCCACGACAACAGTGGTATGTTCTAAAAATATAGAAACCTGGCTAATCAATAGCTTTGTATATAATTGGTAACTACAAGTACCCTGTATATGTTTGTCGTCTCCAAAGAAAAACGAAGCAAATATGAAAAATAAATATTTGCTTTTACCTAGTCCTTTAACCTTACCATACGAAACCTTACACTGAGAATGTGGCTAAATATGTAGGTGCACGTTTATCAGGTTTTGGTCATCGCTATCAGTTACAGAGTAGATGTTCTGATAAATGTAAAGTTTTCAGGACAATTTGAATAATTTCTATTAAAAGAACATATAGAAGAAATAACCTTAAAAAACAAAAATAGTACGATGAATACAAAAAAGTTGCTCTAAACATGTGATATTCTCATTAATCTGAAGAAATATTATTTTAATATAAGATTAAATATGAATAAAAGCTGATGAATCAATGACAATTTTAATCAATAGCCAACGAAGTTTCTGTATTGAAGATAGATACAGCTCAATGAAGTTAATTCAAAAGCACGTTTGTGGTATTCGCGGATGGAACTGATAACCAAACAAAATAAACTACATCACAATAACGGCAGAAGAAAGTGACGAGAATTGAGTTATGAGGATTGGGTGTTTTTTAGTGTAAACATCTAAGATAGACAAGTTTTCAACAAATAAACAGAATATTTACTTAAACAATAAAAATATCACGCGTGCTCGCAATGATGGAGTCAACAGTCGTTTCCCTCTGACTGGTGTTCAGTTTTCTTTCTCTCCAAAACGAAAACTCCAACACTAAACATGAAAATATTCCAGAAAAGAGTAGGCCATTCATGTTAGTCAGGTAATGGAGAAATGAACCAAGAAAGCGACCTCGGATCCAGAATGTTAACTCATTTTATTTGTCCAGTGGACTACGTCATCTCGTGACCTATGTTCCCTGATAACATTGGTCGGCTGTCACCTTCAGTCAGTGTGATAGCCAAAGATATTTCAGTTCTTGTCTGGTCAACTTGGATTTTATATGTAATAGTGAAACATTCATGAGACCAGAGGAGACATCACCCCGAGAGGAAAGAAAGGTAAAATAAAACAATGTTAGCAACCATCTGCCGCCATTACAGTGCGAAAACTGACTAATAGATTATTCAAAAAATTATATATTACTATGGAAGCTACAGAACTTATCACATATCATATTGTTAAACGGATTAACTGCAGTTAAAAGAAATATTAATAGTTATTCTCCTATATATAAAATAAGAAAAATTACATAAAAATAAATAGAGGTGTAACAATGAAATCTGAAAACAAAAAATAAAACATAACAAAAAAGAATAAAATATTATAAACGTTTATATTGACAAATCACATCAAGTACTTGCCCATTATTCGAAATCATGTACCATTTTTGTTGCTGTAGGTTAAAAAGAAGAATAACAGGTAATGTTTTGTTTAATTATAATAATAACTGGTTGAACAAAAGTCATTAGAACAAATGTCTGGACTAGATCCAAACGTAAAGATGTTATACCTTGTCTGAGAACAGGTGCTATATTGTTGTACTAGAATAATATTAGTAAAACAAATGTCTGGACTAGATCCAAACGTATAGATGTTATACCTTGTCTGAAAACAGGTGCTATATTGTTGTACTAGAACAATGTTAGTAAAACAAATGTCTGGACTATATCCAAACGTATAGATGTTATACCTTGTCTGAGAACAGGTGCTATATTGTTGTACTAGAATAATATTAGTAAAACAAATGTCTGGACTATATCCAAATGTAACGATGCTATACCTTGTCTGAGAACAGGTGCTATATTGTTGTACTAGAATAATATTAGTAAAATGTCTGGACTATATTCAAACGTATAGATGTTATACCTTGTCTGTTGTGTCTTGTTCAGCTGTCAATAGAATTAACTTCTGTACTATATCCATACGTAAATATACTATACCTGGTCTGTTGTATCTTGTCGAACTGTTATTAGAATTAACTTCTGTACTATACCTTGTCTGTAGAACTGGAATTTGGTGATCCAAACATTTCTTGTTTTATAATCTCCTTATTCTTTGGATTTTATTCTGTAGAACTTTTTGTTGTTGTTTATTTTTGTGGCTTGGTTTCTTGTATGTGCGATGCTGATTAGTCTAAATTTTTATTTATATTTTTGCTAGATA